AATTTTATGGCTTCAGGTCTCAACGCTCCACACTCTGGTTGTAGCAACTACTCATAATAAGTACTGTCATTTTGAGTGAGTTACATTTTTTTGACTTCACTCACTGGGGTCTCTAAGGAGAATAGGCACCAGCCTAACAGCAAACAGCCCAGTTGCTAGTGGATGGTGAGTAAAGCAAGCAAGAACATGACTCTAGGAACTGTGAATGTACTTCACATTGAGATCTCCTGGATTTATAAAAAAAATATAAACAGAAGCCATTCAAAAATGCCTGCATGACTCAGCTGCCTTTGATATCCTCTCCTACGTGTTGTGCTCTGACTATTGGACTACAGAGTCATGTTCTTCCTTCAGTACACTGCCACTTTGATTTCATATGTCCTGTTAAATTTGTCCCTGGGTGTTAGATGCCTTTCTCTCCTTCCCTCAGAACACAGTGGTGGGACACCCTCTAGGTGAAGGGACCTGACTCCTTGCTGTGAAAGATGGTTTTGTGATAAAGTTGATGCTTAATCCGTACTTTAGCGGTACCTCAGTCTCTGACCCTTCAAGGTCTTAAATTGCACAAGTAACAAGTGATAGGACACTGCTGCACCAGGGGAGGTTTAGATTGGATATTAGGAAAAATTTCTTCACCAAAAGGGTAATCAGGCATTGGAACAAGCTGTCCAGGGTGGAATCACCGCCCCTGGAAGTGTTCAAAAGACCTGAAGTTTAGGCCCTTAGTGACATGGTTTAGTGGTAAACTTGGCAGTCCTGGGGGAAAGGTTGGACTTGATGATCGTAAAGGTCTTTTCCAACCTAGTCAATTCTATGAATCTGTGAAGCAGGGTCTGATAGGATTCACTTGGAGACCCTCCAAAGAGTAGCCTTGTACATGTTCCTCTTGCTTTCCTTGCACACAGAATGGGCATCATGCATGCAAACAGCCTCTATAGTCATGACTTCTTAAAAACCTGTCCTGGAAATTTTTGGATCAAAATGCAAATGTCTAATGATATCAGATGCTGCTAAACTAGGTTGCTAACTAGTGTTACAGCAAAAGATTTAGAAATGAAGAAATCTTTAAAGTCCAGTTTTACATGCCCAAGTTTTTTCATTAGACCTTGTCTATACTTTGAAGAGATCTGCCTCTTTCAACAGTTCAGTTCTAGTCATGTCTGCATCATCATGGCTTTCTGTAGTCAGTCCTTGGACTTCCTATATCCAGAGCTAAATCACAGGTGACTGTCAGAAATGCAGCCTGCAGACATTGATCCAATAGATGACTAAAAGACATGCTTAAAACATGAGCCTTAAGATGTGAGACATGTTTGTCATATATTTACCTCCAGTTGGCTGAGACCTATCCTACACTTCACTTTCGCAACATACATCTCCGAAAACCAATGCCCAAAACTTTTAAATTTTCCACATATATCCTCATCACTACATTTTTCTTTCACATTTTCTCGCTCTTCTGTGGCAGATCTTCCCCTCTCCAAAGTATATCCCTACCTACCCTTGCTTTTCTTTATCCTCTTGGAAGATGTGGTTGCTTCTGGATGTGTTCATTTGCATGTCACTGATCTTATGCAGCTTCACAATTCTCTGCTGCCCAGCTTTCTAGTCTGTCAGTCACTGGTTCAACAGAGTTCCTTTGCAAGATGCTGCAGATGACACAACAGGAAAGTTATATGAGACACAAGCTTTTGCCTCTCATGGGAGCGAGTTACCAGAGATCAGCTGCCATGCAGTGTCTTGTTCCTGCTTGAGGCAGCAGCTTCCAGCACCTGAAATTTTCACTTCATTTCCATGCATATTGCTGTCCAAAATTAATGCCTTTCCCATTTTAAACATGCTAAAATAGGCAGTCAGAAAATCAGCATATTTGATAAGCAAGCGGATCATGAGCCACTTCTTGGCCATGATTATTACAGTCAATAAAGAGAAGCTGCAGAAAAATTGCCCATAGTATCTAAATAGAAAAGCTTTGAGAAAGGTATTAATGTTTTCTTTATCTCATGAAGACACAAAGTGATGTCTTTGTCTCTCCTCAAATTCTATCAGGGGTACAACAGGGATGAATCTGCTCCATAAAAACCAAAATTACACAAAAGAAAATTAAACTAATAAAAAGAGAGAGAGATTACAATAACAATAAAAAACAATAGGCAAAGAGAAAATAACTCCCCCTCCTTATTGTTATGCATCCAGAATCAGTGTCTTGACTCATTTGTTAAACTTTTATGGCACTGGGAGTTTCAAATACTAATTTTCTTCAGCATGAAAGTGCCCTTTTTAACAAGATGAATATGATGCTCTAGGTGCAGGCAAGAACAGGCATCTGGAAGATGTTAATTTTATATTCCAGCCAACGGGAGGTTTGTGGGCAAGAGGCCTTTGCTTTATTGTTTCTCCTACACTTTTTCTGACCTAACCTGCTGATGCTACAAGAACATTTGATCAAAAAATGTCTGTTAAAACCAGCTGTTTTGATGATGTTGTGTTACAATTTTCATTGGCAGTGAGGGAAAAACATCCCTTTCCTGTAAAGTAAAATCTTTTGCCTCAAAAATAAAATGGTGTCCATGTGGAAATGAGACATCCATACTTCATGGGAAGGGAAGCCAGGCAGTGAGCCACCAGACTTCACCTCCAAGGGGACATTGTTGTGGCAATATCCCTTGCATTCTGCTAAATGAGGGTCTGATGAATCATAGGAGGGGTTATCCTAGGGACAAGGAGAGAAAGAGGCAGTGCAGCAGCATTAGTTATTAGCAATAATGGGAATTCCTGTTAGAAAAAGTTTGTCTTTCATCCTTCTGTTAAAAATGGAGAATTAAAGTTTTACAAGTGACAAGTGACAAACTAAAAAAACAGTGTACAGTGATGAAAGGCTTTGTTTCAAGGTCTTCGTATGGGTAAAGCATACAGCTGAACCCAATATGACTGGAATTTCAGTGCCCATAATAGAAATAATCAGCTATACTGGTTTGTTTGCAGAAGTTTTCAGTACTTGCTGAGTTTTATTTAGTGTTACTGTGTGTATACTAACAACACACACAGCTCTCCAGGACTTTTGAAAAAGTAGGCCATTTAAACAGGTGAACATCACAGGGTAACCTTAACTATTAATAAGAAGATGGACCAGAAATTATGTTCATGGCCATACTTGCTAGACTTTGATGATAATAATAATAATAATAAAAGAAGATATCATGCCATTGACAAATAGAAACAATTTTATATCTAATAGGATTTAAGTAATAAAGGCTTAAGGGCTGCAACAGCTGCAAAGAGATTAGATATGTTATGTTTTCTCAGTGTAATAAAACTTGTCAAATAAAGCTGAATAAAATCTTCTTATCAGTGTCTCTGGCATATTTTTCCTGCAGCCTCTTTCCTTTCAGCTGGTTGTGGGAATAACCATTTCTCTAGAATTGTTATACACACGACAGTTCAATTAGAGTCAACTTAGTGAAAGTTATTGCTGGATTTGCTCTTGATTATGCCTGTGTTGTTTGGTGTTTTTTTTTTCCAAGCAAAGGACATCTGCTGTATTTGGAAAGTATGAAGCAGGTCAAAAAGCCCACTCTGCCTGTTACCAGTCTCTGCTAATATTCACTGGATGACTGGGCTGGACTGTGTAGATGACTGTAGTGCCATGAAATTTAGCACTGGTTTACACCAGATCTGGATATGAAATTAAAATAAAACACATCAAAATAACAAGACAGCTTTTCCCAATCTCATTTGATACTGCCTTTGTTACACCAGCCTGTTCTTCTGTAAGGTCTCCCTTTTCTCAGCTCTCAGCTCCCACCTGTAGGTGCTGTCTGGAGTCCTTCTGTATTCTTTATGTTCCTCCTGCCTCGGTTTCTTCCTGTCTAGAAAGGAAAGCGCTATCTTCGTAGGGCTGGTGTACTAATGTTTGCTGAAAGCTTGAGGATACACAGATGGTATTTGCATTAAAAAGTGTGAGTTGTTATTATTACTCTTAAGATATGACAGGCTGACATTTTGCTAACCTTTCTGTGAAATCCAAGGCCAAACCTTTGTCTTGGTTACAAATATGTTTGGATTTGCCATGTGGTCCATCCTTCCACCTACACTAGTATTTCTGAACGTGCATGCATGTTTGTTTTAAATTACATGAGCATCTAAAACAGTTATTGTTCTAAATACGAAGTAGGAAGAGTGAATGACAATGCATGTTTGAGCAGCACTGCTGTTGCCTTCAACACATATTTGAACAAAGTACATTACTTTCCAAGGCAAACCAGTGAACCTAGTAAGAAAGGCCAGGGGATCCATCCAAGCTGATGTAATACATAAAGACACAAACACCATCCATAAATCAATAGGCATTGATTTAGGTAAATGAGAGCTTTACCCTTAGGTAAGAAAAATTTAATTTTTTATATGTACGTATTTAAAATGTTTCATGCCAGATTTCTGGGGACACATCCAATATTAATTAAAATTTAAGTGTGTTGTGTCAGCATCCACAAACTCATTATTTAAATTTTTTTTTTTTTTAAATTAAAGCTTTTCTCCTACATTTTTTCCCCTCCAGATAGAAAGCCCAGGAAGCCAATGCATGATGACAATGTAATAACCAATTAGGGAAAAAAAGCTGAAACTGGTTGCTGGTGCTAAAACTACTGTCAAAATATATAGTGTATCTGTGACTGAAACAACTTCTAGACATTGTTTTAAACTCATCTGTTCCTTGGGATAGAGGGGGAAGAAATTTCTATATAAGTTTATTCTAATAATTTCATTTATTCTCAGGCTAATTGCATGGAACTGTGAAGATGCTTGGAAAATAAGGGTGAGTGTAACCCTGTGTCACCCTGCAGAGCTGCAGTGAGCTCTGACTGAGCCAGCATGAGTCCTCAGGGAAGTAGCTGCATTAACTAGAGCTTTCCCAGACTCTAAGCTGGCATTGCAGAGGCAGTACATGCAGGTTTATTAGAAGGAGGAGAGGGATTAAGATGCTTCTCTTCCTTTAATAGCACAGGAAATCTGATAACTGGCAGGATGCATTAGTCTGGATTTGGAGACCCTAAAGCAATAAGGTCAACCCAGCTGTCGTCAGGTGGTATACACACATCACATGCAGCATCTTGCTTGTCTGGTCACAACTGCAGCCCTGGTCTCCAGCATAGCCAGACTCTCTATGGAGCAGGATGTAGTGTGAGTGTGCACCATCACAGTCCAGCGGTCAGCATCTTTGAGTCTTGGGCTCTCTTCTCCAACTGCCCACTTCTCCACATCTATGTTTCTATTATTATTACTATACAACATTATTCTCCCTTCCTTACAAAGTAAGGTAAGTGTTGTATCGGGAAATACTCTTTACAGGTTTAAATCAAGAATGACTCCACTGATAAGTTGGTTCAGTTTGTTTCCAGCTGAAGTTGTCATCTGTTTGTTGAGATGGCCTTAGGTATAGCTGTTGTTAGAAGTATTTATGTTAGGAGTTGGATGGGTAAAATCACACTTTAGAACATGAGCTTCTTTTCCTCGTCTCCCCTTCCTGTGAAGTCGAATTGTTACCAGTGACTCAGATAAGTGTAGCAAAGTGCCTATGTAAAGTTATTCCTTCCCATGGCCTAGCCAAAGTGTTTTTCTGAAATCCTTTGCTAGCTGAGGTGCAGTACTCCCAATGTGACAGGAGATTTTAAAGGCGCCTGCATGGCTCAGCCCTCTGGATATAAAACTCTGTGTAGGTACACAGCCAGCTTGTTTTTCTGGGAATATGAACAAGAGTCAAGAGGGCATAGAAAATGGAGAATTACATCCTCTGCTTAAATTCCTCTACTCTCCCTGCAAGATTGTTCTGGATTCAGCAGTAGCAGATATTTTTTTCTCCTTCTTAGTAGCTGGTGCAGTGCTGTGTTTTTGACTTTCAGCCTGGGAACAGTGCTGATAACACCAGTGTTTTTAGTTGCTGCTCAGTAATGTTTATTCTGACCGAGGACTTTCTGAGTCTTATGCTCTGCCAGGGAGGAGGGGAAGCCGGGAGGAAGCAGAGACAGGACACCTGACCCAAACTGACCAAAGAGGTATTCCATACCACAGCACATCATGCCCAGTATATAAACTGGGGGCAGTTACTTGGAAGGGCTAGATCACTGCTCGGGTCAGCGAGCGGTTGTATTCTCTTCCCTTGTTATTTCCCTTATCATTATTGGTGGCAGCAGCAGTGATTTGTGTTATACCTTAGTTACTGGACTGTTCTTATCTCAACCTGTGGGAGTTACATTCTTTCAATTTTCCTCCCCATCTCTCTGGGAGCTGGGGGGAGGAAGCAGGGGAGTGAGCAAGCGGTTACATGGTTCTGGGTTGCCATCTGGCAAAGATTATGAAAATGTCCTGTGTGCAAGTGGATACTTGCTTTGACTCTTGTCAGAAGTTCACATTTTAATATTAGTTTCTTTCTATTTTGTTTGGGTTCTCTTCTTTTCTTCTGGGGGTAAAAACTTAATGAAAGAGCTTGACAGGAAATGCTGGAATCCAAGCTGTGGATGGTTTGCTGCCACCAAAGTCCTTTGGGCCTTAAAGTTCATCCTTATCACTGCTATTTAATGTAACAACATCATCAGATTACTTTCTAGCATTGGTTTTCACACATGATTGACAGATGTAACAAGCAGGTAGACAAGAAACTTAACTTGTTGCAAGACAATGGATGTGCACATTAGAAGCTTTCTGAAATGCAGAATGTTACTAAAGGCCATAACCTGATATCAGTGATAGAGTTGGCTGCAAGCTACTAAGTGCACTTCAGTTCTAATACTTTTTTTTTAATTTTTATTTTGTTACCTCTTGCAATAGATCACTACCCATGCACTCAAGGTATTTCTTGCATACCAGAGGCCCTCAGAACACAGGAACCAATCAAATATATTGATATTCTTGCTTCAACATTAAGTCAGGGAAAGAATTGACAGGAATTTCAAGTTCCCTGTGCATAGAGGACCGGGTTACCATTTCCATATGGCTTTCAGATTGTCTTTACACACCTGAGGAACACCCTGCAGTGCCTGAGGCACGATTTGCTCCAAACAGTTTTTGATTCCCACCAATATAATTTGTTGGAAACATTCTGCTTTTGTTGGAAGCATTGACAGATAGTCTGGGAGCTACTGAAATATGTCCCTAACACCTTGAACAGAGTTTGAATGACAGAACTCAAAGTTGTCATGGCCAATGATTAGACAAAGTGCCTCATGACCGTCACAGAATCATAGGATAAATCATCCTTGCAACAGGTCCCAGATCAGGTATACACTTATGCTTTCAGTCACTTATGTTTTTTTGGTTTTTTTTTTTTTTTTTAAATTGCACATTTGGAATTGCATATTGGACATTTAGAAGTCCCACTCCAAGGCCAAGCTGGAGTCCCAGTATCCCAGCCTTGCACAAGCAGTGCTGTCCATCTGGATTTCACCAAAATGAACAGCTGCTGCTCATGTTCCCCAGCTGGTAGTGCATGAAATACTGTGTGATAGGTCCTGGGGAGAAGGGGTAGATCCTTAAGGTCTAAAGAGGCAATGATCCATATGATCTGCTCTTAGCTCATGCTCAATATGCTTCGCAGCCTGGCTACGTTCTTCGGCTTTGCTCAGGAACGCGATGTCAGCTCCAGTGAAGTGTTGCAAACAGCTTTATCCCTGCCTGAAAGAGGAAAGAAGGATGGTGGTCTAGATTTGAAGGATTTCTGGGGCTTAGCTTGGCATTTCTGATTTTGGCCTGCCTCTTGCCCTTCCTAGTAGCTAGTCAGTTCTTAAGCACACACAGCATACATAAATATAAGCACTGTATCCCTCAGGAGTAGCCCCATGAATTAATGGAACAAAAATGATTTATAAACATCTCAACCTCAACCTTCATTTGCTGTGTGTGTGTAAGATGTGTACATACTGGGTTGAATGCCTCCGTGCCACAAACTCTAGGTGCTTGGTGTTAAAGATTCTGCTACATTATTGGTGATGTTAATACATACTCACCATAAACAACCAGTGGAAAGATTAGACTGAGACCTGCAGGCTGCAAACAGGAAAAGCTTGTAAAATCTGGCATCATCCTATGGGTTTTTGGCCAGCATGTGTTGGTCATCATGGTGTGTTCAGAGACACCAGCAGCTATAAATCTTCCCATTCCTCTGCTGTGAGATCTTATCATTTCTGTCGCAGTGTCTGCTGTGCTACTGCACTGAAAGAGCACAGGGTGGCTCCCCCTTCCCAAAAGGTTCCCCCTGAATGGGGAAGGGCAAGACAGGAGACCACAAGCTCTCTGTCTGCTCTGTGCAAAGAGCAAGGGTTTGAAACCAGGAGCTGCCAGTTGCTGTCAACTTTATTTTTTAGCACAGCATTTAAAAGAGGTATTTGACTATGACACACTTCACTCGTGAGGAAGGACCAACAAACAACTTTTTTCATAACTTTTACAATTAAAGCCTGTTTTAAAGAACTCTAAAGAGGATTAAATTAGAGACACTTCTTAGCATGAAATGGTGCAGCTTCTCAGTGACTGATGGAAACAAATCTGTTTCATCACTTACGGATGAAGCCAAGCAGCAGGACCACGCAAAACCAGCATAAGAAAAAAACAAAACAGAGCATTTTAAAATTTAATTATATAATTTATGAAAAGATAACTGCTCATTTTGGGGACTGTAATAAGAATTTTCATATTTTGTTTGTAAACAGTCCTCTGGGCACCTTATCTCTGTTTACAAATTATAGTTTCCTACTAAGTATTTGTTGTGTTTGTTGAATAAAAGATAAACATAGGTTAGAAGGCATCAAGACTCTAACACTGCTTGTGTTATTTTTCTTTCTTTCTCCTCACCCTTGTTTCCTTTGTTTGGGGGCTTTGACCTCCTAATGTTTTTGCTCCCTGACCCAGAATATCAAGAAAAAAATCAGATTTCCACAGGAGAAAGGTGCTTGTTAAAACTGGTTTTGGTTTTCAAAGCAGCAGCAGCACAAGGTTAGAACATTTTTGACACAAATAACCTCAGTCTTTAACCTGCAGCACTGCTTTACGTAACATTCAATAGTCTTGCCAACACAACAGGAAAAAAAATTTATTCCTAGATTTTTCTTCTTTGGGGCAATTAAGAAAGCACTTGTCAAGGAAAAGTATTTTTATATCAGAGGTTTTCTTTTTCTTTTCCACCTCTTTTAGTTCATTTACTTTAGGAAGATGCTTCATTCTAAGTCTTGGAGTTTGAAAGCAGAAGCTTTTTGTGCTTATGTGTTTTTTTGTTGTTTTGTTTTTTTTTGTTTGTTTGTTTTTTTTTTTTTTTAAGTATATATCAATAGAGTTATAGAGTCATAGAATGGTTTGGGTTGGAAGGGAGTTTCAAGATCATCTACTTCCAATCCCCTGCCTTGGACAGGGACACCTTCCACTAGACCAGGTTAGAATCATAGAATCATAGAATAGTTAGGGTTGGAAAGGACCTTAAGATCATCTAGTTCCCAACCCCCCTGCCATGGGCAGGGACACCTTACACTAAACCATGTCTCCCAAGGCTCTGTCCAACCTGGCCTTGAGCACCGTTGGAAAAGAGTTTCTGGGAGACACTTGTAATACGTATGATACGTCCCTTCCCCCATTGTGTTCAGAGAAACAACCTGGGTATCATATATCATCCAGAATTTGTCTACCTGAAAGTCCCTATGAAGCTAATGAAATGTACACTCTACCTAAGTCTTGTCGTATGTATCATACCTATCTTGATTCAAAACAGCTTTGTTAGTGAAAGGGAGAAGGCAATGGACAAGAGGAAACTTTGCACTGTGTGAAATAACATTTTAATGAGAAGTTTGCCATTCAGCTAAGAGCTGAAATCTAAATTTCAGAAAGACGAGGAGCGTGGATTCAGGTGGGCAGAAGTTGCATACTGTGAGGGCTTGAATTCTAGATAGATGAACTGATATGGACATTTGAAAATGACAGAGCATCAGACTCAAGTGGTAGGAGGAATGACCCATCTAGGGGAATATCCATAGTTTGTTGCCATGCTTTGTTTTATGATATGAATGCTTCTCAGTGTATTTATAAAATAAATAAATAAATAAAGCACATTGCTGTAACCAAGGGCCTTTTCTGATATGTATCAGAGACATGCTATTTTCCTTTTGAATACAATGATTTTCACTGCTGAGAGATTCATGCAAGAGAATCTCAAAATCTTAAAGGAGAACTGAATAGTTTTTTCAGCAGAATTAAAACATAGTGAATGAAATATTACATTGTTTTTGCTGACTTAGCAGCTTCAATGCATTGAGAAAGTTTGATATAGAGAGATCCAAAGTGTGTCTGAAAGCCCTGGACATTGTCACTTCTATTTTAATTAGAAAGGTGCCTTTTATGCCATTGAAGAATTACTGAAATTGGTCTGACATATACACCACTTTTTAATACTATTCTACTGTGTCTTACTGATGACTTTAAAATGCAGAGAATGGTCACAGGTCATCACGGTTTTTCCTCTGGAAATGCCCAGATGGTCCCACCTCCAGTTTCAGTTGATAGTATTTTAAGAACTAGATCTTGAATAATTGCAAATTTCCTCTGTTTGTATTAAACTGACAATACCGTGCTCTGCTTATAGATACATAAATAAAGAGCCAGTGAACTGATGCTGAAGACTCTGTAGCACTGCTTAAGATCTTGGTAGGCACAGTAAGTAGTTCCTATTAGTTACTTCACATAGCTCTTCAGCACAGCTGTACATCAGCTTCCCACCAGCGATCAGTCTCTACTCCTCAGCTTTGTCTGGAGACTTTCCTGCCCCTTGTTAGTGCCAAAAAAATTGTTGGTTTTGTTCTGCACCACTGTTCTTTCTGCCATGCAATGGCACTTCCGCCTCAAAGAAACATTTCTCAACCATTTGAGTTGCTTAGGGTTTCTGGGTTCTTTTCTTTTTCTTTTTTTTTTTCTTTTTTTCCCCCCATTATTTCCGTTCTTCATTTTCCAATATGGGCTTAACTTGGGACAAGACATTTGAATATTTCTGCCAGCACAGAAAAATCAGATTGAGGATTTCATAATTGAAACTGAAGTGTAATGTTAGGGAAAAAAAAAGACAAGAGGTGAGAGAGTTGAGCTATTCAAGTATGAGTGAAAGGATAGAAGTGAAAAGATGGGACTTGTGAGCATTTTCAGATCAGCCAGAATTTTTTCTTTAAAGGAGATGGAATGAAAACAGATCGGATACCCAACATTAAAGAATTTTGAGAATAAATCCTTAACCTGCTTTATCACTACTTTGGAAAGTGATGTTGTACAACTCTGGGCAAGTTGTTCCTTCTTTCTTTTGTCTTTCTTCAGTTTTGTTTGCCCTGTTTTTTTTTTCCTCTGTGTTTTGTGATGTCTTACAGGAGATTTACAAAAGTAGAGCTTTCCATAGTGTGGCTATAACAACTGCTAAATACATTTTCCAATCGGAAACAAGCCAAGGATCTATGGCATGAAAGTCTCAGAGGCACAGATTTATCTTCATGGCTCTGAAGTTCCACCATCAAAAGATGACAGAATGAGGTACTCCATCAGCTGTTTCCAGCATACATATAGGATAGGGTATAAAGTTAAGTATGTGTTTCTGAATTAAGTTTCAGATGTGGCTTTAACTCTCAGGCTTCCCAGTGAAGTGGTTTGATTCACTATCTTTGGGGGTATTTAAAAGACATGAAGGTGTGGCACTTAGGGACATGGTTTGGTGGCTCACCTGCCAGTGTTAGGTTTACAGTTGTACTCGATGTTAAGAGTCTTTTCCAACCTAAATTATTCCATGATTAATCACAGACTATTTGCAGGACTAGAAAAGATATTTAATACAATGAATACCCATTTGACCAATATTAATCTATGTGATTATGCTGTCCTGTGTTCCAGGAAGGTTACTAGAGCCAGAATCTAACACTGTTTATAGAAAGTTGAAATAATATGGGTTATATTCATCCTGCAGACATGAATCAGGATAGCCTCTTCATAGAACATAGTATCAAATGAAAATCTTGAAATGTTGTTCTGAATTGAAATCCAAACAATTTTGCAATGTAAAAAATATTTAAGCTGCTTTTTTCTTCCTCATTTTTTCCATACGAAGCCTGCACTTTTCAAATAAGAAAAATATTTATTCAAAAGATAATGTAGGTATTAGGTAAAATCATTGCTCATCAAGTAAACTTCTCACTTCTTTCCAGTTGCAGATCTCCTGGCTTCCTTCTTCCTCCCTAGTTCCATATATGTAGTCATTTGCATTGAGTGTGCATGATGCAAAGAGCTCATGTCATCAGCACAACTGTTTAGGGTTGGACTTCAATCATTCTGCTCCTTGTCAACATCATTTTTTATCAAAATCAAAAGTACTAACAGAAATTGGTTTCCCACACATACTCTTTCAAGTAAACAAAAGACAACTTAAACTTTCTATTTATTCTTTCTTCCTGGAGTTAAGCCTTAGGTTCAAGCAGGTGGCATTTTTTATATTTGGAGAGAATCAACCTTTGCAAGCAATGGTTCCAGAGAGGCAGGGAGGGGATAAGGGCATTAAAAAGGAAGAGCTGATTTTCATCCTTGGCTGTAATGGTATGAGGCTATCATTTATTCTCACTGTATCTCAGTTTTCAGAACTAAAAATTTCAGTAAGAAGCTATGATCAGCTCATTAATTCCTTCAGCCATAACCTCTTTCTTCCTTACTCTTTCTTGTAAATGATTTGGGTTAAAAGAGATAAGGCAGAACCTTTCTGCTTTGCACTTTTAGGACAAGAGAAGGCTTCAACCAGTGTCCATGGGACCCATTTGTGGTTGGTTAGTGTGCTCAAGCGTGCCCGTCTCCTGCTGTGATAAACACACTGGTCATTTACATGCAAGCACCAGTCTGGTTCTCATTTAAAGTTCTTTGAAAATGTTTCTAAGTTTCATTTGCTGTAAAACTGAAACTCTCTTCTGTCACTGCCCCTTCTGCCTCTAGCTGGCTGGTAGACTACTGATTACTTGTCTTTACCCATGACATGAACTATGCCAGCAATAACATAAATACATAATACTTAAATCTTGTTTGCATTAAGCTAACAGCAAAGTGTTGACAACATTAAGGAGGGAGAGAAACAGAGAAAGAAAACTTAAAAAATAAAATCTCCCAACAGAACATAATTAGCCTGCTGCTCACCTTCTCCTGTATGGACTGTCAGAAGAAAACTTCTGTGTAATTATGGCCTGATGAAATAACTCTTTTTTCCTTCTTCCTTGGCATAAATGAAGATCCTAGTAATACTCAACTGTTGAGTGGATTTAAAAAAAACTCCAACAAAACCTGGCCTGCAGATCACTGAAAACTGGCAGAGTATTCCAAGAAAATACCACGGTAGGTTTGTGCTAATTCTGTATTTGCCCCTTAATGTTTGCTGTTGGGGGAGGATACTGGGGTAGATATACTGCTAGGCTGACATTGCCCAGTTGTTGCTATGTTCCTGTGGATTAGGAGAGCTTTCCTTGGAAGGGCACTAACACACTAATTTTGCTTTTCATGAGTGTTTGCATCTCCTGGCAGTAGCTGGCTGCAGGACTAAGCCCATATGAGTTATCATTTCTAATAGAAGTGACACATTATGCTTAGCTGCCAAGTAAATGTTTCTGAAGGATTAAAATTCCATCTTTCCTATCCAGTGATGTGGAAGGGATGCCAAATATGGACACATATTCTCTTTTTAGTTCAAATGCTGAGACTGCAAGAAAAGCAGCTGAAGTAAGTCAGGCAGCTCTTTAAAGGCTGTCTTTATACTGAGGAATCATTTGGATATATGAATCAATATTTGTTATTCCACTGTTTTTAAAACCTTCTAACTTTTTAAAAGTGTGAAATTCAAAACAATTGAAAAAGGAAATACACCAAAATAAACTCAAGTTTTCTTGGGTTTTGTATGACATTATTCCCCAGGTCCAGGTGAAGACACATAACAGAAGGGTTGCCCAATTCCCTAAGGGCCTACAATGTAAATATAAAAGAAGACATTATAACCAAATGCAATAATAGGAAAACACTGAGGAAAAAGCGTGACAGAATTAAATACTGGGTTCAAGAACTTAACACTGCAATATCTTCACAGCCTCTGTATATTTTATTTATTATTTTACAAAGCATTTTACTTTAAAAATGTATACGCACAGAGGAAAAGTAATTATCAAGATCCTTTTTTATAATAAATCTGCCATGTACTAACTCACAAAACCTCAGAAATCTCAGCTGCCTCCACTATTGATGAGCCTATGAAGCTGAGCAAACAGCCTAGCTTATTTTGCCTCCATTTCAGATTGCACCAGTGGTCTGTTTCAGATAATTCTAGTATTTGCCTCTTGGTCAAAGTGTATCTTGTCTGTCACTTGCTACACTATACGTCTGTGCAGCACATAGGATGCCTTCGTCCCAGTCCTTTGCTGTCATTGGAATGCTAGTATTAAAAATAATATATCAAATTGAGAATAACCGGTAGCAAAAATAAGACAGAACTTTTATAAACCACAATACCTCTTTCTGGGCTACTGATACGAAACTGGATTTTGACAGACAGAAATCAAAATAATGCTATCATGCCATCAGTTCCAACAAAGCTGCACCAGTTTACATTCCATAGTATATAAGTTTAAGCATTTATAATGTTGTGAGTACACAGCTTTTCAACTATGATTTTTTTTCCTCATTTTTCTCCCCCCCAAATGGAAACAAACTTACTGTCTACCAAGAGGAGATCTAATATATTAAATTAGATCATGGACCAACTGTATTAGATCAACATATGTGCTCCCAGAAAAGGCTTGCTTACTGTCAGTAATATAAGCTGACAGCTTTAGGATCAATCAACATCTTAAAACTCTCTTTTCTCTCATCTCTCTTCCCTCTCTCATTCCTTGAAGGAGCTTTGCAAAGTTTATTTGTCTGTTTCTGCTTCAGAATTTCTCTCACTAATACCTTCATAAGAAATAGATTTGCCTCAAGTAGCTTACATTAATCTGGGACACAATAATGAATAAATATTTGGAATAAATAATGCAGAATGTCTAAGTCTGATAATTATACTAATGATGACTGACATTCTCCTAGTACCTTCCAGTACCAAATCCCAAGGCACTTTATTGAATGAGTACAGATTTGGGGGTTGGGGAAGGAGATGGGGAAAGATCCCTAGCTACAGTAAGCTGTCAAAGCTTCTCTGATATTGGTTGGGCATCTTCACCATGCAAGAAGTCTGGTTTGTTTTTTTTTTCACAACCCACACTATTAGCTATAAAATAGGATGCTTTTATTATATTTTTTATGTTGGTGGCTTACTGCGTAAAGATATGTAAAAGGCTGATACTTAGGAGAACTAGGAGTGAGGTAGGAGGATACACCACCACTTGGAGCAGTTTATGCTTCACTGATGCCCATTTCCTGCAAGGACAGAAGCAGGTAGGTGACAGAGATCAGCCAAAGGAAGGCAACAGCTGTTGCTGAGGCATAGGATAGTGCCCCATTGCATCCATACCACTCTGCTTCTGTGCTGTAGAATAGGTGTGGCCAACAAATAGCAGATGTCTTAGATGAGGACCAGCAAATAAGATATACGAGGCTGATGAGCTCTAAGGGTAGACATGATAGCACACTTCTGAAAATGCCCACCAGCTTTGTCATGTTAATGAAGAAGTGTTGCACCATTCAGCCTTGTAGCTGTGGGTTGTTTTGTTGTTTTGGTGGGTTGTTTTTTTTTTCACAAACAGGGAGCAGTTCCAGGCATTGATGTCCATGGTCATGGGAGGCAGGATTCAAACCAGGGACTTTTCTAATTAGCTTCCCCTGGACTTGATGTTCTCTAAATCCAAAGTGCAGGTGAGGGATAAATGGATGAAGGAGTTTCCAACTGAAGGATGACCCAAAGGTTGCAATTTCATAAAAGCCAGCATTAAAGGAAGCTGCTGGCTTTGGTCAGTATACTTAGCAAGATTTGGAGAACATTTCCAAAAGCAGTGGTCAATCTTTCTGCCAGAGCATCACTTTGAGCTCTGACAGAGAAGAAAAAGCTACTTTTTTTTTTTTCCCTTTGACGAACAACTTTCTCCAGGCCACTTTGACCCAAAAATCACTTCCCCTGGAGAATTCAGAGTACCAGACCTGTGGGGTCCCCTCTTGATGAAAAGATCCTTCACTGTTGGTTGTTTTTTGTTTGGTTGTTGTTGTTTTGTTTTTCTTTCTGCTGGCAGCAGGAAGTAAATGTATTCTATATAAAGCTGGAAGGTCTTACAGTAGCTAGTGGTTGGAGTAATATCTGGACATCCCTTTCACAGTGGCCTGTGCAACACCGTAAATTTTGTGGACCTTCAACAAGTACCATGGAAAGGATTGTGCCTTAGGTGTCAGGGACATGAGAACCATTTTAAAAGTCTGCTTTGTTCCCAGTTAGATTCTAATGGAAGTAGAAAAGCTCCCAGATGTAAAGGGATAATTGTGAACCCGTGTGTTCTGGAGCAGATGTACACAGGAGGAGCGCAGCAAGGACTTATTCACAGAGGTGCACAGATTTATCCACAGGGTCATAGTCTTTGATGAGTCATATACATCTTCCTTTTCATAAATGCTTCAGTGGGACTATTCACATGAGGAAAGATAATACAAAGATTTGCCTATATATGCATGGCAGACAGAAACACAATGTGCAGCTGGAGAGTGATAAGGGAAATTGATTTCTTTTTCCTTTTCCTTTTCACTTTATTTCTCCTGAGTGGCAGCAGCAGTTCTGTTCATCAATTACATTGCCTCCTTCTCCTATACAGGAGCAAATTTTCCAACAAGCTCAAGCCTACTACATGTAGATATACTGAATAATCCGCCTCTTAAAAAAAAAAACAAACAAACAGACTTTTCACAAAAATCTGCTTTATGTTCTTCAAGTTATTGAATATTTTCAATTTTTCTTTATACTCTTCACAAACCTATAGGACTAAGAACATTGCTCTGTTGTGCAACTGTCCTAATCAGCAGGTGATTTGGAGAGATACATGCCACCTAAACAAGGCTTTTATGTGCTAGATATAGTATTAAACACTTAACCACCCATAAGATTTCTGTGCAGTCTCTGCTTGTGTTTAGGTTGCAGATGAGGCAATGTCAACACAAGCATGATAAATTGGAGGTTTCTTCTGCAGAGTGCTTGCACATACACAAGCAAACACTTCATTAGCAAGACGCTAAACAAAACAAAACCCACAGCAGTCCCCACGAATGTGTCAGCACGAATGTGTCAGTAAATTGCTTCAGGGTAAGAAAACACCCTCTGCATTAACTTCAGGATATCAGGGAGACTGGGAAGATGCTGCCTGGCTGGAAGCATCTCCTGTCATGCATGTTGCCTCTGTGAGAGGAGGCTGAAGATTAGAAATCCTCCCCTCCCACAAAGGGCTAATCTTGCTGGCCTCTATCGGGCTGCAGCTGGGCTCCCACAGCTGTCAAGGATTTGGTACTTTGCCTGAAAGCTTATCCTGTGAAATTACTCAAGAAAAAGCAGCTGGAGTTGATGCAGCCTGGCACATAAGGAATGCTTGTGTCCCCCTCCAATTTAAAGGCAAGTTCTGAAATTCTGCTGCAGGGACCAATGCCCTTTAGGGAGAAGGGAAACATTTGGGTTTTCAAGGAAGAGTTGCAAATAATAGTTTCAATGCTGTTTATCTTTCTGCAATCAATTTGGAGAAAACTGCTTAAGAAATACACAGAGACAAGTTCTATTAGGAAGTATGTTTTTCCCTGTGTTTTTTTCTTCTAAGTTTTTATAATTTCTGACATTTCCAATTTCTAATTAGAAATGTTAACTTATTCAGTATTTTACACTCCTCCCACAATTTTTGCTATTGAGCACAACAGAAAGAGTGATACCTATGGGATTCATAGAATGTTTTGTGTTGGGAGGGACCTTAAAGATCATTTAGTTCCAACTCCCTGCCATAGGCAGGGACACCTACTAGATCAGGTTGCTCAAAGTGCCATCCAACCTGGCCTTGAGCATTTCAAGGGACACCCATGACTTCTCTGGGTAGCTTGTTCCACAGCCTCACCACCTTCACAGTAAAGAACTTCTTCCTAATATTTAATCTAAATCTAACCTCTTCTAGTTCAGCTGTTTTCATTTTGTTTCCTTCACTTATGTATTTATTCAGCTGCCTTAACTTTGTAAAAGGTAAATCAAAGGCATCTTCTCTTTCTGCCAAGATGGTCTGAGATGCAGCTTGATTTTTTTTAAATTTTTTTTTACATGAACTTTGACAGTGTAACTCTACTGATTTCAAATATTATAATCTAAAGAAAATGAAATACAAGAAAAGAAATTAAAAAAAAGTTATGAGGCTCATTTATAAAGTAGAATTCGTACCCTGAAAGTGGCGGAGCACATATTTAAAAAAAAAAAAAAAAAAAAGGAAAAAAGGAATGCAAATTATGCGAGATAAAAATAACACAATATTGGTAAGTTGTAAGTGTATTTCTGGAAGCATTGAGCCTGGACTGTTTGATGAATGATTTTCTCTGTGACTTATCAGATATCTGTTTCATATGCTAACTTCAGAAAGTGTAATGTTCACATTCTCTAGAATCAAGGAGGTCTAGGCTGTCTTCACTCATCCTTATCACTTGCTGATTCAAATTATTTGATTACATGAATTCAGTGAAACTAAAAAAAGGTGCATTTCTTCCCAAAGAATTTTTCTTCAGAAGAACTTGAATACATTCGCCATCACTAACAAGTTTAAATGTTTTATGTTACATGTTATTTCTGAACCAATATAGCAAGGTAAGAAAACTGCCTTTTCTGGAAAGACTACCAACACATGCATTTGTTTGTTGTTTATTTTGTTTTGTTTTTTTACAGAAGCTTTTTTTCTCCCACACACTGCAAGCTAGCTCTTTAAATTGGCTTATTAATTGGTAAAGACTTGCAGATGTGATTTTAGTAGTAGCTCTGGTACAGTTATCTGCTTATATCAGCCTACTTCTAGCTAGTGAGTATTGGGGTTTATTTTTTTCATTCCTCATGGTGCTTGGGTGTTTCTTAGTATATTGTTCTGGTATTTATGCATCTCTGAGTGAGTTTGTTGTGGAATTAAATAAGTAACTGTTTGAAATATACTAGTTTACAGAAAATTTTGGTTAAAACCATAGGTTTTACATAGGTTAAAACTTTCATAGACAGAGGGAAAGTTTTTTTTAATTATTTTTAATATTAAAAGTAGCTAGTATTTAAATAGTTTGTGTAGTATTTCTTTTAAACAAGGTGCTGAAATAAAAGGCACAGTTCCAGAAAAATGTATATTGGACTTGTAAAACAACCCTGCCAAATTATGGTTGAATTGTTAGTCTTGATAGGTATGTTTCAGACATACTTGTATCTCTTAGGTATTTTTTAATATGGATGTATATTATTTTAAAGACTTCCTCTGTATTTTTAACCTTCTCCAGATTCTTTGAAAATTTTTTTTTTTTTTTTAATGTACTATAGAATCCTACATCTGTGGTACTGTCCCTTCAGTCTTTCCTCAAGTGGAACATTTTCCTTCTTCTTCCACTTCCTTTTGCCCCTGTCTTTAATTCAGTCTCAAGACTTTATTTTTTTTATTGCTTAAGTGTCTTATTATCTCTTTGTATTTCATTTTTAATTTTATATTTTATAGTCCTGTGTCATGGGTGTGATTCAGTTAATGAACAGCCTGAAAATTGGAGTTCATAGTGATAAATTTTCTTACATTTCAGATAGTTTTGCTTTTTTTCATTCTTAACTTCTAAATAGGATCAAGTATGACTGGGAAGTGTCTCACTTTTCTTTCCCATAAAAATATTTGGGAGGGTCACATGGGCTTCTCAGAGGTGAATAAATTACGTAACTGGAATGAGTGGCAAAAATCAAAGCAGCAGTCACATCAAAAGTGTCTACAGCTGTAACCCTATACTGGAGATGTTCAGAACTTCGTACCACTTAGTTTCTTGTTTACTGTATAATTTATATTAAATCAAATTATTTTCAGGCATATAACTAGTCTCTGCATGTGAGAAAACAACTGTTTATTCAATTACATGTTTTAAAATACTGCCAAAACTCACTGTTGTCTCAGAACTAATTCTGTTCATGGAATTTTGATGCTTTCTGAGTCTTACTGCTGTTAGAGTATTGACATCACAAATATAGAATTGTAAAATGAGGCTTTAGATGGAGCTATCTATGCCAAATGAGTTGATTGCACAATTTTTTATGTTCCCTTTCTGAGTAATATTTGTGTCATTCTTTTTCAATTTTTGTCAAGTATTACATTTTGTATTTGCATTCAGTATGATGTTGGATGTTCACACCATTGCACTCTTCTTACCACTTCCCTCCCAAAATTATGGTGGGATTTTTACAGTGATTTATTTAGCAGTTCACTGGAATCTGACTCTTCAGTTTTATCACTTGCTTTGCTTTCGGTTTTGTAAACTTAGTATTGCCTGAATATAGAGAAGGGTTTTGCCATTTAACATACAGATAACTGTGCTTAAAATACCATTACTGTTGTAACAAACCAATAAACCCTGAAGAACTTGTTTGAAAGGCTGAAATTATATCCTTAATTTACATGCTTTTCCTTCTCCTTGTTAAGAACAGTGGTGATGAAGTGTCATCCTTAACTTTGAATTGCTCAACATCTGTTGGCTTGTAGCAGAGCCCAATCCTAAAATTATTTAAATGTAGTTTAGCGCATCTGAATATTAAATGGTACCCTGAGGATTCAATCCAACAGCCAGGACTATAGTAGTTACAAGGTTATAATTTCTCTTGTGCTCATTTCGTGTTCAAGCATCTATCTAACCAGTTCAGTCAAAAAAACATAAAAGGGAGGAGGGGGGAAGGGAATCTAGATTCTATTTGTGGAAATATAATGGAGGTAGGGTTACCAATCTGTTTCTTTCCTTTAAACTTTCACATTAATTCCCCAGAGCAAGGATACTTTAAATTTCTAACAGCACTTCATGCCAGGTTTGCAAATTGCAGGGAATTCATCTGTTCTTAGGTTTGTTTCAGTTTTCCTTACAAAATGAACAGCAAAAACATATGCATATATAATGTATACATAACATGTCAGCTGAGGAACCCTGGAAGCTGAAATCTCTATCAGAAGAAAAAGGTAGAACTAATTTGAGAAGAAACTCACTACAAAATCATCTAAGCTGGTAAAGGATGGCAGGCTACTTCTGTGTAAAAAGCTGCCATTCTCAAGTGCTGCCATGACTTTGTATGGTGTTTACGCAAGTTTAAATGGTGATAAATTCAGTAACTCTGTTTTAAATAGACAGATTGGTTTGCTAAAATTTGGATTAAGTTAATATTAAAAAATAGGGGGTTTGAGAATGTGGGTTTTAGTTTATTTTCCAGGACTAACAGAGTTCTTTTTTCAAAAGAACCCAGGCAGCTTATTTAGGTGCCTTTAAATAAAACATAAGTAAACTCTGAAAAAACGTTTTGTTTTACACTTACATAGTGCCATAAATGTGAAATTTAAGATTTTTTATTATTATTTTAAATAGTGATTTAGAATCATAGATGCTTTGAAAAGATTTAGTTTTCCATTCTTATTACTTTATTTCCTTTAAAAGCTGCATAAATTTCTTAGAACAGTTCAAGTGTTTGGGCTTAGTTAAAAAAATGAATGTTGATACAATGTTGCAAGGCATACAATAATTGGAGTTTTTCATTGCAAGTTTTGCTTCAGTTGAATGCTTTTTCCTTCTTGCTCACCAGGTAATGTCAGCTGGCTTCATCCCAGAGCAACTTTAATTTTGTCAAGAGGAAGAATTTGCTTTGCTGAGGCAAATAAGAGCAATCACATTCTTTTTTCCCATTCTTGGCACTTATTCATGTCTCTTTCCCCTAATTTTTCGTCTTTCATATGGGGCCCAGAGCAGAATCTCATCTATTTACAATAATAGGAAAAATATTGAAAAAGAGTAGATCTTTTCCATGCTCCATTAGCTAAGCAATATGATGCATGTTGATGGAAGGTGCTGACAGTCTCTCGTAACTTAGGTCTGGAGAATGGTTCCACAGCCAGTGTCAGCTCCATTGCTCAAAGCTCACCCTTAATGCTGCCACTTAAGAAGACCACATGAGGGATACCATTCTTTGACTGAGCTAACATTGGCATGAAACGTGCAAGGAGCTTGATTTCATACCTCTTCTGCTGATTTCTTGTTTGAGTGATG